ACCATCAGCCCTCGCTCCTGCCAGCGACGCGTCCTCCGTACGCCGACTTCTATTAACGGTTCCAATGGTGTCGTAATCGATGGTTACATCGCTCCGTATCTGTAAGTTCAACAATACATAGAATGTACGAGCAGTGTTGTCCCAATCCCGCTCCGATGATCACGGTTGGCTACGTACGGTGTGAAGGAAGTTCAACGTACCGTATCATGCGAATCCGCAGCAATCCTCCACTGCTTCTCACGCCGTCGATTGCAGTATGTCCGATAGCACGATTATTAACGATGATAATGGTGTACAGCCAATATCTGTTCACTGCTGGACGAAGGCCTCCCCCACACCCTGTCGGTCACGGGGGTTGTTTGACCATACTTCACCACGCCGGTTGCCAAGGTGGAGCGCCCAGAACCGGGTTCAGCCATCGGTTCCGGCTGGTCCCCGGAGCAGTGCGCTAACCATTGCACCACCGCTCCACCTCGACGGACGGGGGCATACAGCAATTGGGGTGTTTTTCGTGTGTTTTAAACGAAGCGCAAGCAACAGGCGAGCGAATTAAATAGTTTTATTCCGATTATTTCGTGATAACGAGATCGCCCCCAATGGTCGTCCCTGCTGCAGTCCACATGCCCCAGCAATGGCACTTGTGTTTATTTACAAGTCGCGTGCAACGCCAGAGGGTCTCTCTCCTCACCCGGGGTCTCTCGTCTCACCCGGGGTCTCTCTCCTCACCCGGCACACCGCGTCCAGTGTACCTCTCTCGCTATGGCCGTGGCTACTACGGTTAGTCATGCGCCACCTATTCCAGTCCGTCAGCGACCCCGAATATACAGGGCGCTTAAAAAAAATGTTATGAATTTGCAACAATACGACAAGGAATGTGCCTCCGGGCTCTGGAAACCACCTAGAGAAGATTCCAGGCATGCGTTGACAATGATGGCGAACAAGTGGGAGACTCTCCGACTTTTTGAAGCTATTAATATTACATTTGTTATCACGTTACAGTGTATTATTCGTTCTTTTCCATAACAAAACGATAGTCCCGTTTCAGCGCTAACATATTTTTAAGCACATCCAGCATCTAATTTTACTTTTCACCATGTCCCGCAGCTACACGCACTGCGATCTGCCACGGACTTCGAATGTATTTCCACACGCGGCACACCACATCCAGTATACCTCTCTCGCTGGGGCCGTGGCTCCTACTTCGATTCATTGGCCTACTACTCCACAACTCCTATTAGCACGGTTGGCTACGTGCTGTACGAAAGAAGTTCAACGTACATACGGCTCATACATACATACTGCAGAGCGCCGCCAATCTGGGGAGGTATTCCGTTAGAAATTAAGCCCTGCACAGAGACCTCCCCTCCGCAATGAGATCGCCCTGTTAGTTTCACCCATAATAAATACCGACATGCGAACAAATAAAAAAATAATTCGTGTTAAATTATTATTACTACTATTATTATCATTATTCCCTCGCGTAGGGAGAACTCATCAGTTTATTACGATCCCTTTCATGAGCTCGCTTCCCGTATTCTCCGCGTTGCATAGACGGCGCTTGCCCCGCGTGCCAATGCAACGGTTAGGAGTCGCGTGCGTGCGAGTGTGTGTTTGGCGTGTGTGTGTGTGCCTGTGGGGAGCGGTGGCGCAGTGGTTAGCGTGTTGCGCTACGAACCCGACGACCCGAGTTCGATTCACGCTCAGGGCCATCACCAGTGACGATTATCTGAACCGGTCCTGGGCCTCCCCGAGGTCGACTCGGCCTCAAATGAGTACTTGGTGTAGCGGTGTGTAGTAAACATCGCCACTGGGGAGACAAAGGCGGCCAGGCGTGGCGTTAGCCACCCAACCCCTCGTATGCCGTGCCGGCCTTCATAGGTGCTCGCTAACAACACTTGCCCCTGTAGTCTGTTAAGGCTAAACGGGGCATCTATGTCTTTGTGTGTGCGCACTGGCGCGCATCTGCCAGTCCTCTCAAGTCAATTCATGGCACCTGGATCTGTCCCGTGACCGCCTGCCGGCGGGTGTTCAACACTTCACATGGCCTTAAAGTGCACTTAGCCTGGCACAAGCACCCTGGTGACGTCACCGACACTGGCGAATGGCAATTGTTGGCGTGTGTGCGTTAGAACCTTCATTAGGTGCTCTTCATATAACTTGCCCCAACAGTCTGTTAATGCTATATGGGGGATCTTTGTGTTTTTTTTGCGTGTGCCTGTTCGTGTCTATTAAGTGCGCGCGTGTGTTAGTATCTTGGTTCGTGCGCGCTCGTGTACGTTTGTGCGCTCTGTGAACGCGTGCGTGTGCGTGCGTGTGCGCGCGTGCGTGCGTGAGACCAGATTGACGTGACCGTATTTGGCACCTGGGCGCACGTTTGGCGCGAGCCTCCCGGAGGTCGTCGCGTGAACCCCGAGAATGCCGTGAAACAGTTTCCGAGCGTCGGACGCCTGCGGGCCACGTGCCGCGGAGCGAGCGGAGCTCGCGTCCCGCGTCGCCCCAGTGGCTTTACCCCACCGGCGATGACCAAGCACGGGGAACCACCGGCGAGAGGGGCCGTCGTGCCGTCCGCGACGGCCACGTGGGCACCGGTGCCGTTTGACGTTGTTCAAGGAAGGCGGCATTTTATGCGCCGAGCTTCACCGTCGCCGGCCGCGCTCTTATCCCCACTGCCGGGTGGGAGGCCTCCCCCCGTATCCACCGACACTTCTCACGGCCGTGCGATCGACGGTAACACTCTGGCGTAGCACCTCCACCAGCCAGACCGTCTGTCACGGCCAAGCCGCGTGTTAACTTAAAAGCCAACAGAACGCCGCTAACCTGCGTGCTGGCTCCAACCCAACCGGTCCCCTTCCCGTCCCTCGGTACAATCCCGGGCACGCAAATCCTCTCCACGCGAACCTTTGGGCTTTTCTTCCATTTGTCCTTTTTGCGGAATAAAGCCCATGGTTTTTCCCAATGAGCCGCACTCGCAAACGCGCAAACGCGCGTGTCAACCGCGGCACGGCCGACAAAGGCAGCACCGCTCGACGGCAAAGCATCGCGACAATGACGCCCCCCCCCGCCCCCTCCACCCAGAGGTTCGTTCGGCTTGCATATAACCGCAGTGGCACACGTAGGGAGACGCGTTCAAAACACACAAAAAAAAACCTCGGGCACGGTGGGAGTTCACGATCCATTCACGGCCAGCGATCGCGCTCGACAAACGGCGGCGAGATGAGAGGCAAGAACCCGTAAACTGCATTGCATTGTGGATGTCGTAATACGGCTTCCTCCTGGCGTTTTCTTTTGCTCTCTCAGTGCAGCGTTCGCTCGTTATTTGCGAGGTCGCCACGCGCGACTTTGGCTGCGCGCGAATCGCATCTTGAACTCTGCACGACCGACTGCATCGAGGGACAGATGGAGAAAGAAAGCGATGAGATAAAGTGACGAGTGAGAAAGCGATGTCAAATGAAGTGATGAGAGAGAAAGTGATGAGAGAGAAAGTGATGATAAAGTGATGAGATAAGTTGACCAGAATAAAAAGTGATGAGAAAGATAGATGAGAAAGATACGAGAGAATTTCTGGAAGCCTCAGAAGCACCTGCGGACGTTGCGCGTCGTACCATATTACCATAATTCGCGAAAGGCGCTATTCACGAGCATCTCCGGAACCTATCCCTCGCGAATAACTAGGGAACACCGTCGTCAATTCTTGATTATCTGCAGGAAGCATTAAATTCTAAACACGCAGTGTGGCGCAGAGTTAACACTCGTGCCACACAGAAATAACGCTGCTGGGTTTGACTCCTGACTCGGGTTTCCTCCAGGCTCTCAGGCATCCCCCCCCCCATGGCGAAACACGGAACGGTGTTTATCGGCGGTGGCCGAAGATCCCAACGCGGGACCCCCACCCCCCCCCCCCCTCCTGAAAACACGAGCGTCTTCGGAGTCGGTGCTCGCACCCGTCTTGTTTCGATTGCATCCCTCCTAAGTGGGCGGGTCGACTCGCCCACGTGTTTGCAGTCACGTGGGCACCGACCCACGAGGCCCTTGGCGAGTGAGAGGGCAGCACCGTGATTAAACTAACGAGGGGGGAGGGGGGGGGCATACAAAATAAATGTTCAGTGTTGCTTACCGGCAAGCACCGTTGATAACCTGCAAAACGTGGGAAAATCGATATGCAAAGACAAAGATCGCCCGCCCGTGTAACCATGCATGCCGCTGTGAGCGAGCACCTTTTTAAGGCCGGCCCGGTCGCACGAGCAGGATGGTGCGGCTGGAAAAAAACCCCTTAGTCTCAAAACTTAACGCTCGTGCACCACGCCACTGCACCCGGCCGCGACTCATTTCAGGCCGAGTTCACTTAAGGGAAGCCCAAACCGAGTGCTCGAGTCCGACTGGCCGCCAGCGATGGCACCTATTGAGGTGTGTGGCCCCGGGGGAAAAAAAACATCCCTGGTCGCCTTTGTCTCCTCAGCGTTGGTGTGGTTGTAAACACCGCACTAGGTACTAATTTTAAGGCTGAATCGACCTGGAGGGGGGCCCTGGGACCGGTTCAGATATCGCCCGTCACTTAAATTAGCCATGGCCGGTAATTAAACTCGGGTCGCCGGGATTGTAACGCAGTGCGCTAATCACTGCGCCACCGTTCCCTCTGCAAATTCACCGACCACGACGTATTTGTGACAGTCCCTGACCGCATCAGATCACAGGGTTCTGAAGGAAATCTACGTTGTTTCATCGCTGCGCATGTGCGTGTGTGTGGGCGTGCGTGCGTGTGTGTGTGTGGGCGTGCGTGTGTGGGCGGGTGAGTGTGTGCACGTGCGGGTGAGTGTGTGTGGGCGGGTGAGTGTGTGTGTGAGTGTGTGTGTGGGGAGCGGTGGTATAGCGGTTAGCGCGCCTGCCCTAGGTCGACTCAGCCTCAAATGAGTACCTGGTGTGGTGTGTCAACATCGCCACTGGGGAGACAAAGGCGGTCGGGCGTGGTGCTGGCCACCCCCACCCTCGTGTGCAGTGCCGGCCTTCATAGGTGCTCGTAACAGCATTTGTCCCTACAGTCTGTTAAGGCTATATGGGGGATCTTTGTCTCTGTGTGTATGTGTGTGTACGTGTGCGGGCGAGTGCATTGGCCGTGTGTTTTTAGCGGGCCAGTTGTTGCGCTGCGTGTGCCGGGATCGTAGCGCGGCGTGCGACACGGCCAAGGCAAAATGTCCCCCCCCCCAAACCCCCCTCGCCCCACCCCATAACCTGAACGGGCTGCTGGGGCGAGTGCTGTTGGCGAGCTCCTCCCATACCGACGTTTACACAGCCGCGACAAGGAACTCACGTTTAAGGCCGAGTCGACCTAGAGGAGGGGTCCGTGGCAGTTTCAGATAATCACCGTCGTTATAGGTCATGGCCGGGAATCGAACTCGGGCGACGCCGGCTTCGTAGCGCAGCGCGCCCGCAACTGCGCCTCCGCTCCCCGCGAACGCGCACGCACGTCGCACGCACGTCGAATCAGTCCATCTTTTTGGTCGGCGGTCGGAAGACGGCGGAGGCCGCGCGGAGCGCCGGCTCCAAGGCCCTGGAGGCCACGGTGACGGCCTTGCCGTGCAGCAGGACGAGCGCCGTTTGGTGGAAGAGCGCGCACAGGCGGTACCAGCGGCCATAGAATGGGTCGGACACGGCCGGGCACAGCATGTTGTTGAGATTCACCTGCGTCAGCTGGGGCGGCAGAGGCGCGGACGAGGGAGACAGACGCCGCAACGTTTCGTTTCGATTTAAAAGCTTTCGTGACTGCGGGGATTCATCTCCTCGGTTCTTTCGGTAAAGTCACCACGTAGAAGGGAGACAAAAAAATAATAAAAAAATTACTTGTGTTGTGGCCGAAACGTCGTGAGAATTTTATTTTATTATGTTTTGTTTTTATTATTTTATTTCCATCCCACGTGACTTTACCGAAAGAACCAAGAAGGTGAACGTTTTTGTTTGTTTGTGCGTTGAACTGCTTTCGCACCGTGCGTGGCGAACCGCGCTAATCGAAGGTCCCACCGGGACACGCAAAAGACAGAGATCCACCGTGCAGCCCGCACGCGCTGTTTGGGGGCACGCGCCGCTGGCGAGCGATTACGAAGGCCGGCACGGCGGCGGCGGTCGGCGCCACCCGCCCAGCCGCCTTTGTCTCCCCAGTGGCGGTGTTTTTACACACCGCACCAGGTACTCATTTGAGGCTGCGTCGCCCTAGGGGAGGGCCCAGGAACGGGTTCAGATATTCGTCGCCGATGTTATTACAATAATGATAATTAATACGGCGTTGTTACCATCGTTGTTATAACGTCGACTCACCAGAGCGACATGGCCCACGACCGTAGACTAAAAAAATTTCCCCAAAATGGAAACCACCGGGCAAAACAGGAAACCCGGGAGACCCGACACCGCGCTGGCACGAGGCCGCGCTGGCACGAGGCCGTGAAGGCCGCGCTGCGGTCAACCCCTCTCGGGGCGAAGCTCAACATGTCAACAAGGGCAGGGAAGAAGCGGCGGGAGCTCATTGCGTCCCGACGTCCCATTCGGGGACGAAGGGGATTCTCACGCGCTCGCCGGCTCACCAGGGCGAGCGCCTGGAGCACGGTGAAGTGGTAGAAGAAGAGGAGGCCTGTGGCGAGCAGCGCCCACCACGGGTCCCCCAGCGGCTCCGGCGCGTACGCCCCCCCTGCGCACGCACGCGCACGCCGAGGCACGGGAGGTCCCCCGTGGAAGCGTCACAAACCAGAGCCCGTGCCCGAGGGTGCACGCCGAATCGGGTGGGCGACTGCCCAGGGCCCTGCGCTTTGGGGGGGGGGGGTGCCCGCGCTTCGACGTCATGGCGTCAGATGTCATGTCTCCCCGGTGTACCATTCCGGCCTTCATAGGTGCTCGCTAATTACACTTTCCGCAATAGTCTTAAGGCTATACAGGGGATCTTTTTATTTGTATGTGTGTGTGTGCATGGGCAATTAATGTTGGTAAAATTGCAGACGTAAGTAACACTGCTTTACAGAAGATGATTCTATAGGGATCCTCTGCTTATCCAGTCCGGCCTTCCACGTTTACCGATTGAGCCCTATCCCTTACACCAACTCACACCCGCAACACACGCGGAATGATCAGTCACCATCATCATCTAAGCTGGCGAGTAATTTATATCAATCTTCATACTCTGGCTTCATCAGGATTATTAATACTGTTAGCATCATCTCTGTGGCAGAGTCATCATCATCAATCAACTTCGTCATCATCATCATCATTATCTTGGGTTGTGGCACCTGTCCCGGTTTTGACCTGGTACATTCTCGGACGTGGCACCTGTGTTCGGGCGGCAGCAGGACTCACTCCGTACGGAGATCTGGCACCGGTTTTGCTGCGTCCAACTCTTACAGGAGATCGTGTGCTGAGAAATATGTCCAGGTTTGGGTCTACAGTGGAATAAGTGGCAACCCTCTCATCATAATCAGCAGCAGCAGCACAATCGGCAATCTGAAACTCTACGCAGGGATCAGTTTTGGACCCAATTTTGATGGCGTTAGGAGATTTTTACCATTTGAACATTTTTTATTTATTTTACCAAATAAGGCCTACCGAGCTATATAGCTCTTTTCCGGAAGCTCAACAAAGTGGTTTATCATCGTTTGGAAATTTACAGCAGCCCAAATAAATGCGTGTTGTTGTTTCTAAACGCGGAGGGAAAAACCGGACGACCCGGAGAAGAATCCACGCGACCACGGGGCGAGAGAACAAGCAAACTCCAAATATACAGCAGCAGGCGTCAGCGTCGAGATCGTACCCACGACCTCCTGCGTACCAGGCGAGGGAGTTAACATCTCACCGCCGTGCCACCCAGATAGTAGTAGGTGGGCGCACTATGTCCTGTGCTGCCGTGTAACTAAAAAAATCATCGTTTCCCGGGCCTGGTTTGCATGTATCTAGGGCAAAATGCTTGACGCAAAAATAGATTTGGCTGGATGAAACCGTGTGGCTAATACGGGATTACGAGATTGGGATGAGCGTGGGAATGCATTTGCGTGTGGACACACGTCTCTCTGCACCACGGCATTGTGTGCTTATTTATAAAATCTCTTCCCGGCTTATTTATCAAATAAGCCGGGAAGAGATTTTTGCGAAGTCTCAAGACACTCATGAGATAATTAACCCTTTCCTGTTCCGATGACGTACGCGTACATCATCAATTTGTGCTTCCGATTCTGTTCCGATGACGTGTGTACGTGTACCTGGTACACGTCTACCTGGTATACGTGTACAGGTCATCGAAACTGGAAGAAAAACTAAAATAAAATAACATCATCGGTACCGAGGATCCCACAAGGCCATGTGTGGGAGGGCGTGTGGCACAGTTTGGCGCCATCTATCGTAGAGTGCGGTCGTGTCGGTACAGTTCTCTGCAGGGAGTACAATGTATATAGCCTTAACAGAGTGTTGGGGCAAGTGCTGAAGAGCAGGTAATTTTTCTTTGAATGACAGTGCAAGTAACTCAATTAGGAAACACGCAGGACCCTCCTGCCAGACTCAGCGAGGCCTCCCTGTGGGTGTGAGCGACCGCAACTGTAACGACAATCGTGCTGCGGGTTAGGGGACGACGGTCGCCGTGCGCCACTCACCTCCCGAGCGAAGCAGATAGAGGGGCACGATGTACATCATGATGTGCTGGATGTAGTAGATCTCCGTCTCAAACGGCAGCTGCAGATAATAACAACGAGAAAAAAAACATCACGCTAAACGCACAGATTCTGGAATCACTTTCCTTTGTGCGCTCCGTCCTTCGGAAGTATTTAAATCGGCAGTACGGAAGACGGAAAGACGCGGCTGTCAGGGCACAAAAACCACGTTTGCCTCTTTGCAAAACTCTCGTCATATTTACTCTGGTACGTGTCTCCAAGTTTTTTTGTTGGGGCAACCCTTTTGTCATTGTGGCCGGTTCTCTCTCTTGAGCGAGTTCCCCGATATATCGACGCAACTTTGTACCCAAGCTTGTCTCGCTTTGAAGTCTTTTTGCCGAGAGTCATCGCGACAGCCAGTTGCAAAGCGTGACAAAATAATAAGAATAATAATGTAAAGGAACCACGAAGGGAATAAAAACTGGTAATAAGTTGAGAAAAGTGTCGCCCTCGTGTTAAAAACGTAACATTACCCAACTTGTTGCCTGCACGGCAACACAAAAGTGGATTTATTTTGAGCGTCTCAATGTGAAAATGCGGCGAGTGGCGCCGCACCGCATCGCACGCGCGGGAGGAAGGTGCCTCGGTTTAATCCAACAAGCCCGCGCGCCGGTGCGGTGAGAGTCATCGTGTGCCGGTCGCTGACCCCAATTTGGAAACAAAAATTGAGCAAACCGCAACCCGAGATGAACGCGGCTGCCCGCTCCGAGTGTCGACGGATCATTAAAAAAAATGAATCTTCACATTCATCAACAACACCGTGGTGACCCTAAAGGGGTAAAGATATATAAATATATATAATAACCCATAAATATGCGATTATAGAGCATCAATGTGCCGTGAAGGAGAATTGCCCAAAACATTACCTATCATATATACTAATTGATTATTTTAAAGTTTGGCTGGCTGATGCACCACTGCCAAAGCAGCAGCAGCAGCAGCACCACTAGAGGTAATTTTAATGTAAATGTAGTGGATTAACAGGCGCATACAGGGGGGGGATGGTAAAGACGCGCGAGTTATGGACGGTGGGGTTACGTCGGGCCGGCCAGGTCTGGTGGCGGAAAACTGTGCGGTAATGACGGGCCAATTAAGCTGCAGAGGGATGTACGGCTGTGATTGGCTGGGGTTGTCAAGGGCGAGGTGGCGCCGGAATGTCTGGGAATAGAGGGGGCCAAGTAACAGGTGCGGGGGGACGCGGGGCGTCGGTGGCACGCGGCCTAATTAATTGGTTGGTAATGAGAACGGGGATATACTCGGGAGACGGGAAGAACGAGGGGAGTTGTTGTCGCTGGGACTGGAACGAAGCAGGTCGGGGAGAACCGGAGCGAAGACATAGGAGACAGAACAGGCTAGCAGTAGAGTAGAGGCAAGCAGAGACAAGGAGATACAACCAGAGACAACCAGAGACAGCCGAGACAACCAGAGACAACCAGAGACAGCCGAGACAACCAGAGACAGCCGAGACAAGCAGAGAGAGACAGAGACAGAGAGAAGCAGAGACAACCAGAGACAGCCGAGACAAGCAGAGAGAGACAGAGACAGAGAGAAGCAGAGACAAGAGAGAGACACAGAGGGACAGAGACAGCGGGAGAGGGATCGAGGTACAGCGTGAGACAGAGACAGAGAGGGACCGAGACAACGGGAGAGAGACAGAGATACGGCATGAGACGGAGAGAGGGACAGAGACAGCGGGAGAGAGACAGAGAGGGACAGAGACAGTGGGAGAGAGACAGAGATACAGCGTGAGACAGAGAGACAGAGACAGGGATACAGCGTGAGACAGAGACAGAGACAGGGATACAGCATGAGACAGAGAGACAGAGACAGAGATACAGCGTGAGACAGAGAGACAGAGACAGGGATACAGCGTGAGACAGAGAGACAGAGACAGAGATACAGCGTGAGACAGAGAGACAGAGACAGAGATACAGCGTGAGACAGAGAGACAGAGACAGGGATACAGCGTGAGACAGAGACAGAGACAGGGATACAGCATGAGACAGAGAGACAGAGACAGGGATACAGCGTGAGACAGAGAGACAGAGACAAGGATACAGCGTGAGACAGAGAGACAGAGACAGGGATACAGCGTGAGACAGAGACGGAGAGAGACAGAGACAGCGGGAGAGAGACGGATACAACGTTGGACAGAGACAGAGAGAGACAGAGACAGCGGGAGAGAGACGGAGATACAGCGGGAGACAGAGACAGCGAGCGACTGAGAGAGACAGAGACAGCGAGTGATGGAGAGAGATAAAGACAGCGAGTGATGAAGAGAGACAGGGACTACGCAGAGGGACAGTGAGGGATAGGGGAGGAAGCGGAGTGAGCGAGACGGACGGAGTGCGGCGAGCGAGCTGCGGCTAAGCGGAATGACGGAGTCACAGACGTAATGTGAAGAGTTGTAATAAAAGTGGTGTCGGAGAAAACAAGAAAGTTGTCCGCGTCAAGTCGACCACTACATAAACACAAGGGTAGCCAGGTCTCCTTTGGCTAGGACAGGAGACACGAATTCTCATTGCGCCTTTACCATCTCTTAAATTGTATTTATATTCCGTTCATATTTTTCAACAACAACGTAACGGAGGGGAACCAAAAAAAAACCTCAAGAAGCACAGAGTGGACGTGATGAAGGTGCCCCCGCCCCCCCCCGCTAAACCCATGGAGCCACCTTGACAGGAGGACTACAGTCTGGCAGTCCTGGGCCTGTCCTGCCCACATATCGAATAACATTGACACCAGGCTAAACGAAGTGGGCTTATCATCACGTGGAAATTTATGGCAGCCAAATACGCTGAACACGTGATGTCGATTCTGAACGGGGAGGGAAAACCCCGAGGACCCAGAGAAAAATCCACGCGACCCACGGCGAGAGAGACACCACAAACTCCAAATACACAGCAGCAGGCGTCAGGGTCGAACCCACGACCTCCTGTGTACCAGGCGAGGGAGTTAACATCTCCTAGCCACCGTGATGATGATGATGAGAGAAAGACACCACAAACTCCAAATATACAGCAGCAGGCGTCAGGGTCGGGATCGAACCCACGACCCCCTGCGTACCAGACGAGGTAGTTAACATCTCCTAGCCACCGTGATGATGATGATGAGAGAGAGACACCACAAACTCCAAATATACAGCAGCAGGCGTCAGGGTCGGGTGAGAACTCACGACCTCCTGCGTACCAGGCGAGGGTGTTAACATCTCGTCACCGTGGCACCCGTACTTTTCTTATGCTGTTCGTTGCGCACGGTCGCACTTTATTTGCACGAGCAAATGCAATGTACTCTGCTCAAGCTGGTGTTAGCCGCTGAGGGCGCGTGATGGGTTTATTTTCTCATTCCGGTTTGCTCTGTGCCTCCGGTACCGTTCCCGTTTCCGCTGTAATGTGCACCGATGCACTACTTTATTGAGGTGGCCAATACCACGCCTGCCCGCCCGCCCGCCTTTGTCTCCCCAGTGGCGATGTTTAAACACCGCACCAGGTACTCATTTGAGGCCGAGTTGACCTCGAAGAGACCCATGACAGGTTCAGATAATCGTCACCGGTGTTCGTGGCCGTGAGCGGGCATCGAACTCTGGTCGCCGGGTTCGTAGCGCAGCGTAGCGCTAACCGCTACACCACCAATGTTGGCACGGAAATTCGAGGTTTATTGGCCCTGCCACGCCACTGTCGCCCGCAACACAAAGCAAAAAAAACATTCCTTTTGGTTTAACCTTGAGATTGACCTTAGGAACCCCTCCCCCATATACATGTTCAGTAATTGACTGCTTGTGTTGTGGTTATTGCAAACATGATCCCTTGTATAAAGGTGTCAGTTTTTGTGCCAGCTAAACGGGTAAAAACCTATTACTATGTTCAGTAATGTTTTCACATCAAACTCAATCACAACACTCCGGCAGTGGCCGCTTGAACCTCTGCAGCATCAGCCGCCGCGGCACCATCTTGCCAAAAGACGATCTTCTCCCTGGAGGCCAACGATTTCTCCTGCCGTAGCTGCCACCAACGCTGCCGCCCCGCTAGGTGGCCACACTCATCAACATCACGAACGGAGGAGGACCGAGCGTGCCGCCGTCGGGCTGCTGGCTGGCTTGCTGCAAGTCTCACCGTCATCACCCCCCCCCCCACCCCCGTGACGAGAGGGTCACACAACGTCGCCACGTGTTTGGTTGTCCGCGGAACCGAACTGTTCATATTTCTGTTCATATTTCACACTCGCCCTCTCCGAGCCGCGCGCGTGCATGCCACGATCGTTGCGAATTCCGTAGTCGAGCTCCGTTTAAGTTCTGGGGCTGGCCGACACGGTTTTACAAGCGTCTGTGACGGGATCTTTCTGATGTCTGACGCACGGTTTGCACCTGTATTTAAGCGCCGTTCATTGTTTGCAGCAAGTTGTGGCGTGCGATTTGTGTAAACCAATTGTTATTTTGTGCACAGTCCCACCGCCCTGCGACGTCGTCAAACCGGGGCTGTGGACATCCTTATAACAGGCCCAGCTCAATGGGGCCTCGCCAGCTGAATTAATAGAGCCTCAGTCTATGAATCTCTATGCAACTCCATGGATTTCTATGCAACTCTGTGGATCTCCATGTATGTTTATGTATCTCCATGTAACTCTGTGGATCTCTATGCAACTCTGTGGATCTCCATGTATGTTTATGTATCTCCATGTAACTCTGTGGATCTCTATGCAACTCTGTGGATCTCCATGTATGTTTATGTATCTCCATGTAACTCTGTGGATCTCTATGCAACTCTGTGGATCTCCATGTATGTTTATGTATCTCCATGTAACTCTGTGGATCTCTATGCAACTCTGTGGATCTCCATGTATGTTTATGTATCTCCATGTAACTCTGTGGATCTCTATGCATCTTTATGGATCTATTTGCAACTCTGTGGATCTCCATGTATCTTTATGTATCTCTATGTAACTGTGGATCTCTATGTATCTTAATGGATCTCCATGTAACTGTGTGGTCTGTAGCCAGGGACGAAGCCAGGATTTTCAGCCCGGGGTGACATTCAACAAATATTAATTTCAAGAATGATTGAATGAGAAATCGGCTGTACCCCACGCCATCGGCTGGCGACACACTCTGACGATGCAGTTGCACGGAGTCCGCCAGACCGAGTGTCGTACACTTATACGCAGAATGTTTCAGATTTTCGATTTTTTATTTTTTTCGGGGGTGACAATTGTCTACCCTGTCACCCCCCTGGCTCCGCCCCTGTCTGTAGCCGCCTCCACTGCCAATGGTCCTGGGCTGTGGCCCATCCCTTCTAACGGAGCTGCTTGGCTCGAAGAGGCCTCACCAACTGAGATCACAGAGCCCGAGTTCGAGTCCCACCGCAGGGTCCCGTGTCCGCCGTCGCTGCTCACTCACCAGGCGCGTGTTGACCACGGGGAAGAGCAGCGCCAGGATCGCCCCGTTCAGCATGTGCAGGTGCAGTCTGCACCGGCCGGGACAAAAGCACAAAGATCCCCCGAGGCTCCACCGCATGCACTTTGGCCAGGAGACGACACAGACGCCGGGTCCTCTTAGGGCATCCGGAACAGCCTATCGTTTGGTGTTTTTTCCCACGCCGTTTGGTAGTTTAATGGTGGAGGGATCACCAGGCCCCTCGCACCCAACCGGCGTCTTCCCACACGAGCCATCGCGGTGGCCACAAGCGCCACGCCGCGAGGGTGAAACAGGCGATCAGCATCGGCCTCGCAGCCTCTCTCCCAATGGCGATGATCGCACCACACACCCCGGCGTCGTCATTTGACGGCGCCGGGGTGGGCTGTTGTTTTGCCAGACGACACACGAGCCTGTCACAGACTGTTGGGGCAAGTTCTGTTAGCGAACGCCTATTAAGGCCGGCACGGCAAACGAGGGGGTGGGTGGCCAGCACCACGCCCGGCCGCCTTTGTCTCTTCAGCAGCGCTGATGTTTACACACCGCACCAGGTACTCGTTTAAGGTCGAGTCGACCTAGGTGAGGCCCAGGATCGGTACAGTTATTAGTAACCGATGTCTGCTGCGATCGGTAATTGAGCTCAGGTCGGCATGTTTCGTAGCGCAGTGCGCTAACTTATGCGCCAATGACCCTCCCCCCACATACACACACACACGCGCAAATACATGCATGCATGCAACACATGAACACACACGCATTCCTCCCCCCAGGGTGCACGCAAAACATGATCTCATCCACATGCACGAATGCTCGCACACTCTCGCACTCACACACTGCAACATGCACAAAGCCATCCCTTCACTACAAGAAGCAGAATGAAAGTGTGGGGGTGTGTGTGCGCATGCTCGTTTGTCAGATGTGTTGGATGGGTGTTTGTGTGATGGTGGCGGCGATGGAGTGCGCGTGTGTGCGTGTCTCTGTGTGTGAAATGGAATTAAAGCGGCCGGGCGCGGTGTTGGCCACCCACCCCCTCATGTGCCGAGCCGGCCTTTATAGGTGCTACGTGAACAGCACTTGCCCCAACAGCCTGTTACAGGCTACACGGGGGATCTTTGTCTCTGAAGTGGAATTAAACAAAGCAGCATTGTCCTCTGCCATTATTTCAACAAAACAAAATGTATGAAGGGCTCCTTTGTGCTTGACTGGGATTTCCCTTGGCTTTCGAGACAACGCGCTTGGAATGCCTTCATCAGTCATTAACGCCTGCCAGGACCACTTACGCGTGAAAGAATGCCCCCCCCCAAAAAAAAAACAGCCTCGACCAAGCTCCACAACCTGCCCGACTCCCACTTCATTAACGCCGATGTCATTCCGCCAGGCCGCATCGACGGGCGTACCGAAGTACGGGTCAAACCAAAATGATTACGGCAATTTGTGACGCTCCGTCGCGCAGTAGTCGCTCGCTCTCGAAACAAGAGACCGAGTGCGAACTGGGGCCAGGCGTCGAGCCGGCGCCAAAACATTTCCCAATTTTTGCGGTCCTCTACATATTAAGATGCTTTCGGCCAATTCAGTGTTTACACCACAAAACCATCACGGACTTCACGCGGCGTGGGGAAGGCCTTAATTCAGCAGTGGATTGACAAAGGGCTCCAAAACTATTATTACAATAAGGTGCGATTATTATCTAATTTGTATTAATGTAGCGTCTAAAATGTGACAATGCACACAGACACAGTGGGAATATTTAGCGTACGAACACGACGTGGGATCTTATTGCGTTGTACGGCACGGGTGCGCGGGACTCAGTCACGCGCGTGGCAATGTTGCCGATGCCGTGTCCTGCCGCTCACCACGACGAGAGGGCTTCAGCAGAGGGAGACAGAGTTTGTGTCGTTTTGCTGTTGCTCCTCTTCCGTCGATAGAGCACGGTGGACTGCAGTTGTTTCGCCAGTGCGGTGTGTGTGTGTGGCACGTCGCGCATACGACGTGGATGGAGTTAGACGTCTGTATTCGCTCAGGGTAAACATCAACCCCGTGTAATGAACCGGGCCCAGAAACTCATTAACAGGCACACTCCAGTCGGGGAGGAAATTTGTACGATGTGACCCGGGGTGGCTCGGAGGTCAGAGCACCGAGCCGACACCGCTGAGAGTCTGGGTTTCGAATCCGGTCTCAAGCTGCCTGCGATGAAACCGGGTTTCTCAAGTGGAGTGGCTCAAACCCGGCGCTGTGGTCCCAACACGGCCCCGCGGGCACCCGGCCACTCACCTGAACAGCACGACGGTCGTCTTGCATGGCGGCAGCGCCAAAAGTGCGATCTGAAACGAAACAAATCCGCGGAACAGACGCGGCTTAGATTGTGACAGCCCGATACTTGAACATTAAACGGGCACCCACCCATCACTGCTGCGGTTTTACACCAAATACACTCGACACACGGACGAGTTTGCAGCCCTTTGTCAATACACCGCAGTCGATACACGTTTTTTTTACCATAATTCACCACGCTGGTCAGTGCGAGTTGGCGAAGGGAGGAGGGACACGCCCGGTTCAGATATCGCTCGTCGCCGGTTGTTGGCCATGGCCAGGAATCAAACCGAGGCCACCAGGTTCATAGCACTGAAAGAGTCTCAATGGTCGTGGTCAGGAGTGCCCTGGCTAAGTGTTTCTCAGTCGTGTGTGATGATTGCTGTGCATTTCTCAATTACATAATGTGCCGTGTGTCATCTTTCAACTTTGATACATTTACACTGCCCCTCCTTTACCCCGTGCCCCCGTTACCCCGTGCCCCCGTTCCCCCGCGCCCCCCCCCCGTTACCCCGCGCCCCCGTTAGCGTGCGGTTCATTCTGGGCTGCCACCCTAACCTTGGACCCCAGAGTGATATCGTCTTAGATTTAACCAAACCTGGACGATTAGATCAGAGTGGAATTTGATCTGGCGGGGCTTTTAGAAACCTCTCGTAATGCCGAGGCATGCATTTGTAAACGTGCATGCGCGTGTGTGCGTGTGTGCATTTGGTGCGAGTGTGTCAGTGCGTACGCGAGCGGAGCAGCGCTCGGCACCCTCTGCTGCGCTACGAAACCGGTGACCCGAGCTCGATTGCTGCTCGCGGCCGACCACCATCGACGACAAACATCCGAGACGGTCCTGGGCCTCCTGTAGGTCAACTCAGCCTTATGTCAATACCTGGCGCGGTGTGTAAAACATCAGCGCTGGGGTGGGGGGGGTAGACATTCATTTGCGGTGTGGCACGACGCTGGCCACACCACCCCCCCCCTCTCCTCACGTGGCTCGCCGGCCCTCCCCGAGGCGGCTGCTCGCCAACAGCACTCGCCCCAACGGCACCGCGTCGGCTGCACGTGGCAGCTCGCCTTCGTGGGTTTGGGTCGTGTGTTTGAGCCCGTGGGTTCTCCTGTCCGCGAGGATGAAACACGAACCCGCGGCGAGGGCGAAGCGCTCGCGCAGCGTTAATGGAACGAGTCGAGGCGGTTCCTCGGAGTGCACCGAGTGGAGCCGCCCGGCGGGGCAAGGCGAGAGATTCCAGAGTGAACCAGAGTGAAAAAGGAAGACGTTCGTTGAAAAAACACACGCAACCCCCAACAACTCACACATGTTCCTCCTCGCCTACGTAGATTTATCATTTACCTAAAAGCAATAGATTACGACCCTAACCGTCGCAGTAATCGTTTATATCTTCGTCATAATCGGCAGCGTTGATCTATCCACTTGCGGGATGATGGGTGCCCCAGGCGCCTCGCACCAAGAAATTCCTGTGTTAGATTCCTGACTTGGGTGGCTGTGTGGAGTTATTTTATGTTCCTGTTCTGCATGGGTTAAAAACCATGACTATTTTAAAACATTTTATTTTAACAGGTAAGGGCCTACCGAGCTATATAGCGCTTTACCAGAAGCCACCTGGCAACAAATGATAGCTCAAACAAGTGCCTCATCACGTGGACATTCCTAAGCGGCCAAATACTCTAAAAGCGCGTTTCTAAATGTGGAGGGGAAAAACCAGAGGACCCGAAGTAAAATCCACGCGACCACGGAGAGAGACGCAAACTCCAAATATAAAGCAGCAGCAGGCGTCAGGGTCGGGATTGAACCCACGACCTCCTGTATACCAGGCGAGGTAGTTAACATCTCCTAGCCACCATGGCGCTCCCGCTGTGTTTCCTCCGTTTAGCTAAAAAAAACGCACCCATGCAATGTAGCCAAGCATCGACCAAAACATCACAAATGCTGAAAAATTGCATTCAAATTACTTGATGCAGATTCGGCATCGCAGCATTGCCCTCTTACTGCAGTGACTTGGCAGAGACCCCGATATGAAAGGGAAATTCAGCGAGCCTTCTCCTGGGCAAAAAAAAGCGTGAGAATAAACGAGGATGAATAAATCATCGCTCCATCTCGCGTTGGACATCCTCCCTCGGGCGTCGTTCCCCATCGGGGGACGCTCGCTCGTTCATCTCCACCACCGGAATCGACGTCGCCCAATCGGTTGCCGCGTCCCGCCAAAGCCCCACCACTCCAGAATCGGAATAATTATTAATAGCGCAGGAGGAATCCGATGAGCTACAAAGTTCTTTTTCACAGATGTCCAGTAGGGGCGGGTCAGAAAGTTACAACAATACAAAAACATAATAGGAGTGCAAAGTACAAGAAATGTAAACAATTTACCCAAACACAAACAAATACAACACTAAGCCATCCCCATCCTACCAGACAAAGCCCACCGAGGTATTAATTTATTTTTCGGAAGCGACCTGGCCACAAATGATAGCTCAACAGAGTGGCCCATCATTTGGACATTTAAATCAACAAAATAATCTAAACGGGGAGAACTTGCAAACTCCAAATATACAGCAGGCGTTAGGGTCGGGATCGATCCCCCGACCTCCTGCATACCAGGCGAGGAAGATGACATTTCACCGGTGCCCCTTTAAATACATAAGGTATATAAGTTGATGATAATAAGAACCACCTTCTTTACGGCTCTCAGTGCAATTCCAAGCGTTGGACATTCCCAATGATTCTTTGTGCGCATTTCCTCGGATGCAAAACGGTTCGTGGAATGCAATATGCCCCAGACGGCCTGGGACCCAAATCTCCCAGCGTACGCCTGATTCTGTCAGATATCAGAAGCTAAGCAGGGGTGAGCCTGCATAGTGATTGGAGAGACAAGCGGCACTCATAATGGGCCATTCACGTGAAACAGCTCGTGGCCGATTTTTTTCTTATCCACGTCAACAAATAAAAACAGTACATGGCAGTGCAGCAGCATCGTTTGTTGTACCGTATTTCTATGGTCACACCACTTTCATAATATTCATTTATGAAGCACCTTTGCTCCCTGCCTTCCCTGACCCACGCGGACCCAGCGCAGAGAGCATACACGTCCTTTTATCACGATCGCTTTATTAAGGCGAAGCTTTGTTAAATCCTCACGTGATCCCTTCCCATAATACCCACCCACCCACTCACCCGCCCACTCATCCACCCGGCTGGTCTGGATTCTGCAGCGGGAGTTCTCCACTCCCCAGATTAGTGTTGGGTTTTAGAGGGTGGCGGTAGCGGATTTAAATGGTATCCCCCCAAGTTGGATCAGATTATTTTTTGTTTCTACCCCTCGTTCTAGCAGCTGCCCCAGGTCGCACGCGAGGACACCGCAGGTCGCGCCGCTGTCTCCTTGGAAGTGACAACAAAAGACGATTTTAAATTCCGAGTGTGCGCAGTTGGTGGGGGGTGCAGGCCCATATTGGGGGGCGGGGGCCCTAATATTTTTTGTAACCCCCCCCCCACCCCCCTTTAATTTCTAAACTCCCGGTGATGTGATATTGAAGAGATGTAGCGAGATGACAAGCCGCTTGATAAGAGGTGGAGGTGCAATGAGATGAGCGGTGAGAGATGCAAATGGGACGGAGATGCGGTGAAATGAGACGGAGCAGGCGATAGGCTGACGTGCGGTGAGATGAGAGAAGCAGTAGGCAATGAGGCGTTTTCCTTGCTTTGTTTATGCCTAAGGCAGTGTAAACACGTTTGCCATTAGCTGTGCGGGCTCCCCCGAGGCCCCCCTTCCTCCCTCCGCCCCCGTGGCTAAAAACCGGATCTGATTATGGGCTCTTTCGCCTCGTATAGAGGCCGACCGAAACTGAATTTCTGGTTTCGGCCGAAAACAAAACCAGACCGAAAGTAAAAAATTTACTTTCGGCTGAAACTGAAAGTAAACCTAAATTTTGATTTAAAGCTTTCGTGACTGCAGTAATTCATATTCTTAGTTTTTTCGGTAAAGTCACGTTGAAGAGAAACAACGTGACTTTACCGAAAAAACTAAGAATAGTAAACCTAAAGTTAACTTTTTGGCTTCGGCCGAAACAGAAACTATGCCGAAAGAGGTAATTTGCCAACTTTCGGCGCCGAAACCGAATTTCGGTCGGCCTCTAGCCAACGGGAAGGGAGTTCACCCAAGTTCCTTAGGATCTGACAAACTCCCCTCTGGGAATTCCCTCCGCATCAATTCCTCATCGGTCCGCAGAAGTTTCGCAGTTTCGAATTCGCGAGGCTGCCCTCGTGATGTCTTCTTCTGCGGCCGTCCCATCGCCGCCGCCGACGAGAGCGGAGAACGACGAGCAGCGGCATTTCCCTGCGCGCCGGCGGCACGAGAGGGCCAGCCCTCCAGCGGAAGCGTCGGCAAGAGACGCTCGTCTCGCCGATGTTCGAGCCGTGAAGCGGGGTGATGCTTGCGCGACATTGTGCTTCGCCGTGGATGCGAGGCTTCGAGATCTGAAGAGTTGGTGGGGCACATTCTGGGTGATTTGGTGATTGAATGGACAAGATAGAGGGGGGGTTGTAAAATTAAACAGCCCCAGACCACCCTCTTCCCCCATCAGACTTAATCGGGCGCTGGCCACAATCTGCACTGTGTAATCAACTTCAATTTTATGCTCACATTCTGCCGCCGCCACCACCACCAAATTTAAAGATCCCCCTCCCCCCCTGTAGCCTTAACAGACTTTCGAGGCAAGTGCTGTTAGCGAGCACCTATGAAGGCCAGCACGGCACACGAGGGGGTGGGTGGTCAGCACCACGCCCGGCCGCCTTCGTCTCCCCAGTGGCGATGTTTACACACCGCACCACCATCAGCACCGACGCCTTTCAGCCGCGTTTAATTCACTTCCCCTGCAACGACGAATTCCTCACAGCCCAGCAACAGCGTGCAGCAGCAGAGCATCAGCATCATCAGGAGCAGCAGCGCCATGTGGCGGAAGGGTTCGAGGGGCTGGTAGGAGATGAGACAGCTGCATTGGTAGTGGGGTC